ATGCCTCTGCTCTGGGGAGGAGGCTCTGGCAGACCACTTCCGAATAACAAATGCCTTGAAAACTCCAAGGACTCGTCCAAGCAGTCACTGCAGGGTCAGCAATGACTGAGCGCAGACAAAAAAATATATATATATTTTAAGCCCACCTCTGAATTTTGTTTGTTAATTTCCCTCCAAAACTTGTTTCAATGCATATATCCTATCTGCTATGAAATATGCAATTATGACCTAAATAAACAAGCATGATATTAAATCTATTATTTTTAGAAAATATTTATATTAATTTAGCATACATTAAATATATGGAAAGCTTACATAGAATATGAGACAGAGATTTTAATTTACCCTATGAATTACTGAAACTAATTCAGTGAATCAACCCAATACAGATTATCTACAATTCTTAAAAAATCCATCTAAATTCTAAATTCCATCAACTTATAGGCCACATTCCAAAGAGGTAGAGGCACAATTTGGGGAGGAATTTTGAAGAGTTCAAGGTATAAAATGGGTTCCTTAAGCATATGCAAGGCTCAAGGCATCCATATTATCTCTTAGATACCCCAGTGCAAAGCAGAGTCCAAAATTTGGGCCCTATCTTACCCTGAGGGCTTTGAACACCACAGAATGGATCATGGGAGGCTGCACTTTTGCACCCTTATTCTAAGTATACAACAGCAAAATAATTTTCATTTAATTCAACATAATTATTTTGGAATAAATTCATTCTAGCTGGTAGATGACCAAATACTGGTCCTTGGTAAAGGAATAGATGAGGGTAGATGGTAGGAACCAACAGCAGTAACATCAGCCACTATTCCCTCTGCCTAATACTGAGAAGAGCAGAACTGGATAAGGCATCTCCATTCCCTGGGGGTGGGGGTGTCTCAGGACTCTGACAAAGTATGGAATACGGATGGAAATAATGAAACTGGTGGCAGCACTAGCTGTCTAATCCCAAGCAATCAAGGATGCTGACATCTGCCATGATAGGCCTTATGGGGCATGAGCCCTGGCAATGCAGCAATACTTTCTGTGGCTGAGTTCTGTGAAAACTGTTTAGGATACAATAGGAAGAATTTAAATGCAAGGCAGTTATACTTACTTCCCTGGCCTTCAGAAAGAGACTAACTTTTGTCAGGTTTAAATATACTTAGAAAGTGATAACACAGGAGAAAATAACATTAATAACACTTATGTCAATCAAATGACCTAACTGCAGACATTTTCTATTAGTGTTAAATGCACGTTTGCCTTCCATCCTTCCTTCCCACCTTTCTGAAATTGGCAAGATTGATGTACAATTTTCAGTACTGACTTGTTGGTTGATTGCTCTCAGAAATATTAATACCTAACTTTTTTTTTTTTTAGTGCCAAGCTTTAATGGTTTAATATAGCCTGTACTTGTATTGTTAGCATAAATAAATCAATAAAACATGAAAAGCTGCTAAAACCACCCTTTAGAGGCATTAGAAATCAACACAGCACCTGATGTTCTGCTACTTCTGTGAAAGGTCTATGAGATTGGACAGACTGTTCCTGGTAATCTCTTCTTCTGTTTGCTTCATATTCTCAAAAATAAATGGAGAATATATTATCATCTGTCACCAAGTGAAGAAATTGATAATCGTCAGTGAAAAAGGAGATCTGTTTTGGGGTTCTATGTCTAGAAACTTTTGATACAGTATTTCAGAGCTAAAATAGAAGTAGATTGACATGATAACTGCAATTTCTGTGACAGCAACAACTGTACTGATAAGAAGTTGAACAGTAAAACTTCAGACTTTAAACAGAAGTCTGTGGAAAGAAGAGCATTAAAACATGTCTTAATTGTTCTCAATAGTCTTCTTCTTCCCCAATCCTGCAGGTTGATAATGTATGGCTTTGTAAAAGCTCTGATCCATATTAATCAGCTGAAGACCGGTGATTTTCACTTCACTGACTGTTTATTATTCGGTTCTTTCATGTCAGCTACAGATCCAGGTAATGATATATAACATCACATTAGAATTTTGGTCCATTATGATCTTCTGTTTGATTGAATAAGAATATTTATCTAGCAATTCTTTGTACTTTTCCAAAGTAAATATATGCTAAGCTGATCAGGGATTTAGTTATTCAGTTCCCATTTTTCAATTGGTACCTCCTTGAATGTTATTGTAAGAAATCAGAAATTAGAAAGTTGAATCCACGTTTTAGGGTTCCAGTCAATTATTTTTAAAAAAATAAGTTGATTTTCATCTCTTCCTGCATATTACTGGGGAACAGAATCAATCTCAAATGCTTTAATGCAACTAAATGTAATGCCCTTGGTAAAGTACCAATAATTTCTTAATGTGCAATTATTCAAAAGTGGAATAGAATACAGTTTGTTTTCTGTGGCAACTTTGCTATATACTTTTGCTATCATTATATATTATTGAGAGTCTTCTCTATATGTCATATTCAGCTTTTTTCACTGCATGTATGAGGAGAAAAATATAACTTTAAATGTATGATTTTTAACCAGTACTTTTTGAAATAAAAAACAAATTTTATTCTTTTTATTTTTATACTACTAGCATAACACACTTTTTTGAGAATATTAGTATCTTATTTATTTTGTTTAACCAGCAGCTCAATCTAAAGCAGTCCCCCCCTCAATATGAGGGTATCTAGCTCTATTAACTTACTATTTCCATCATCCTCAACAACACTAGTTGAAATTTAAGTTTAGAAAGGTTGGACTATATAATTAAATACGAAGACTTTGATTCTTAGTTGTAGATAGATGCCATTTGTCTTTCTTCCTCTACCTGCTCCAAAAATCATAACAGATAATACGTTTTAAAACATTATGATAGTAGTAGTAATAGTAATAGTATAACTTTATTGATTAGTCAGTTGACCATATCAAAGCAATGGGCATCAGCCACAATAAGATACAGTAAAATAAGATAAAATAGACTAAGACAAAATAAAATAAAACAAAATATAGTAAGGTAAGATAAAGTAAAGATAAAAGAGTGAGATAAAACAGTATAAGATAAAATAGAATGCAGAGACACAAAATAAAATGAATGTTAAATACAAAACTGTATGTGTTTAGCTGCATTCATCACCTTTACATGCAACTCCAATGTGTTCTATAAAACGTGTTCTTAGTTGGACAGCCCTAACTATATACTTAACAGTTCTAATGACTACACGTGTGTTTATGCCTGAAAGAAATAAGATAATATTTTGTTACAGTCCCAATATATGGTTCTGTCATGTTGATGTCTATAAATCCTGAGCCCTTACTGGAGCATATAATTGACAGTTGAATAGGACATGTGCAATGTCTTCTATTTCTGGTGCTCCAGAAACACATGTTCTCTCAGAATATGGTACTTGGTGGAATCATCCATATTTAACCATAGAATCTAGCTGCTTACATTTTGCTCTGATAAGGGCTATCCTATGGTATCAAGTCAAACCCATTGTCAGGTATCTTTTTGTTTGAAATGACATTTTATTCTTGGCCAGCCATTTCAATGACCTGATGTTTAATATCGGTTTGAGTGCCAACATCCAAACTCTTTGTTTGAATATTGCCTTTGCCTGATGTCCAGTTGAGAGTAGAAATTGTGTTCAGAAGCCAAGCTGTGAAATGATTTGGAGAAGTTTATTGATCCATGTGGTGGATTGAAGTGTGCCCATCTGTTCTTCAAGGGACATCTTTGGTAGTCTGTCAGATTCCTTTGGGAGAACCCTCTACCAGTAGTTAAAGACTTTGATTACTGTTAGACTATAAATGGAGTGGGTGCATTTCAGCTCTTACTGCTGCTGCAGGTGTATTCCTGTCAGTCCTTAGAATAGATCTTAAAAAGCATCCTTGATTTTGTTCAAGTAGGGGGACCTTTGATAGGCCCCACAATTCTGTACCATAGGTTAGTGCTAGTGCAATTTTTGTCTTGTGGACCTTTAAAATGGACAGCAGAGTGCTTGAGTGATTATAACTGAGTAATTTAGTTAACATTTTAGAGCTTGCTGTGGCCTTTATTGAACTTCATTTGAAATGGCTAACCCAAGGCCCTGTAGCTGTAAAAACCACCCCTAAATATGAGAAAGAATCTATTTGTTCTATAGGCTTACCATCCAGTTGTATTTGGCTCATCTTTTTCCAAAAAACACCACTTTGGATTTAGTGTTACTAATATTCAAAGAATTAGAGGCAGAATAGGCACCAAATTTCCCCATCAATCTTCTTAGGTCTACTTGGGAGTGTGCCATCAGAATCAAATCATCGGCATACAAAAAGATGTTGATATGTCTGTTAAATATCTTTGGCATGTGAACATCTGTAGAGTAGAGGGATGTCATTGACATAAAGGTTAAGGAACATTGGGACCAGGATGCATCCTTGTCTAACACCTTTGTAAATAGGTAAAGCTCTATGTGAGAGAGAGCCATTGACTCCAGTACAGACCTTCAGGCATGTATTTGTATATAGTAGTCCTTTGGGTTTGAAGAAGACACACTGTTGTGCAGTTCATCTGTGGACATGGAGGTGCCTCTGCAGTCCCAGTCTAATGGGGGCACTGGAAGTCCATTGTTGTAATAACTGTGGGTGTTATTCTGTGACGCCACTCAGTTTCCTATCAGATTTTGGCAGTGCCTGTCTTCAAAGCCATGGAGGCTTCGTAGCATGGGGCTCACCAGTGGGTCCGGTCAGCAACCACAGCTTCTAGTTTCCCTCAGCTGGATGTCATAGTGGTGTAGGCTTTCTTTCCCGGTGTCTTTGTAGAGCTTGCATGGTCAACCTTGAGCTCTCTTCCCAGACTCCAGAACACTATGGAGCAAATGGTGAGGCATATGGTGGTCATCCATTTTGATGATGTGTCCCAGCCACCAATCTGGGCTCTGATAATCAGGGACTCAATGCTGGTGGACTTTGAGTATTCCAAGACCTCAGGCTGGAGACACGGTCTTGCCAAAAAATGCTGAGGATGGAGCAGAAAGCATGCATGTGAAATTTCTCCAGTTGTTTGATGTGCCTTTGCTACAGAGTCCAGGACTCACATCCCTATAGGAGAGAAGGGATAACCATAGACTTTCAGCTTTGTGGAGATACAGATATTGTGTTGATTGAGCACTCTAGTATGGTGGCCCTGCTGATCCTGGAGTCAATTTTTTGGTCCAGAGACCAGTCATTCAAGATGATGCTTCCCAAGTATTTGAAGCTGTTTACATTTGTCAGCTGGGTGTTGTCAACAGTGATTTTTGGTTCTACAGGGCTGGTATTTGGCACAGGCTGGTAAATTGCTTCAGTTGTTCAGGCTAATAGTCAGGCCAAAGAGCATAGCAGCATCTGAGAATTTGTTCAGCATCAACTGTAGATCACAGTCTTTATGTGCCAGGAGCACACAGTCATCAGCAAAGAGGGTTTCTTGGATGACTGTATGGAAGCACTTCATGTGTTCAAGCAGCGAAGGTCAAAGAGAGAGCCATCCAATCAGTACATGATGTACATCTTCTCCTTCATTCCCTGGACAGCATGTGACAATATGCGAGCGAAGAACAGTTTGAACAGGACTGGGGCTAGCACACAACCCTGTTTTACCTGATTGGAAATGGCAAATGCAGCTGATGTATCACCATTGTAAAGAACCTGTCCTGTCATTCTGTCACGGAGTAGCTGAATCAACTTCACGAATTTTCTTGGGCATCCATAACATCTCAGGATGATCCAGAAAGCCTCCCTATTTACAGTGTCAAATGCCTTTGTCAGGTCAGTGAAGACAGAATAAAGAGACTTGTTCTGCTTGATGCACTTCTCTTAGACTTGCTGGCAAATATCATGTCTGCTATACTCTATTCTGGCCAAAAGCCACACTGTGCCTCTGGGATGTTCCTTTCTGAGACAGTGACAAGTCTGTTCAGGACAATGGAGACAAAGATCTTGCCTGCAATGGACAGCAGTGAGATACCCCTGTAGTTTCCGCAGTCTGATTTGCTTCCCTTATTTTTGTAGAGAGCCATAATGAGGGCATTGTGGTTCTTTCTTTGAGACAGATCTCCTCTGTGGATCAAATGTCTTCCAAGATGTCTTGGAATGCCTGTAAGGCATTTGGGTCTAGTGCTTTTTAGATCTCAGCAGGAATGCCATCCTGTCCTGTTGCTTTATTTGAGTTCATCTATGAGACTGCTTTCTTGATCTCATCAGTAGAGAGAGGCAGGTCTAGGGCATCCAATACTGGCAACTGTGGAATCTGCTTTAAGACATCATGATCACCTGTGGACAGCCTATTGAAAAGTGTTCAGCCCAGCAGTTTTTCAGTCCTTCCTGGTTTTTGATCCAGCAAATGACAGCAAGGGGCAGCATCCTGATTTAGAAGGACCATAAACTGACTTTATGGCACTGAAGAACTCTCTGATGGCATGCATGTCTGCATAGCGTTCCACCTGCTTAGCCTTTCTCTGCCACCATTCATCCTGCATTTCTTGCAGTTTTATCTGTATTTTGGACTGCAGGTGCTTAAATTTCTCTTTCTATGAGACAGATGATGGATCATTCTGCCAGACCGCATAGGCCTTGTTTTTGACCTGAAGGGCTGCTGAAATGGTCTCATGTTTTCATTAAACCAGTCTTGATGCACCCAGGTTTTCAGTCTGAGTACAGTTGTTGCAGTCAGCATGATGACATCTTTAAACTGCATCCACTTTTCAGAATAGGTTCCTACAAGTGGTAAATTGCTGGAGAGTTTTTCATTAAGTACATCTTGGAAAGATTAGACTTGGCCTGTGTCTTGCAGTCTGCCAATGTTGAATGACTTTCTGACATTCCTTGGTTGCTTGCTATGTAAAGGAGTAATGTGCAGACTGAGGACCAACCAGACCAGCCTATGATCTGTCCAGCACTCAGTACCTCACATGGCTTGGGTGAAGGTGACATCTTTAAGATCGCACTGATGTACTATGACATAGTCAAGTAGGTGCCAGTGTTTGGACCTGGGATGCAT